GTCAAAGCGAGAAGAGGCTCCCACGTGTATCTCACGGACACACGTTACCCAAACGCGTTGGGTATATAGAGCGCATAGAGGACGATCTACCAGGTTCTGCACCGGCGGTGCCGCGCTAGCGCCGCACGCGGCCATATATTTAAATAGATTTATGAGAATATACGTGCGCGCGCACGTATAGTTCCCGGTAAGTCCGTTGATTTACATCGCGCCGAAAATACACCTTGTCCATTACGGAACCTCCGCGCGCGTTTCGAGATAAATACTTATCCGGCGAAATTAAAATCCCTCCCCGCAGCAACAGCAGCAGCAGCAGCAGCAGCAGCATCGAGTGCACGAGGTAACGGCAGCGTGTAGAAGAACGGAGAAACCGGCGGCGGTGGCGACGGGTACCGGTGAGAAGGACCAAGCTAGAAAGTAAGTGCAAGAGAGAGGGTCGCGTTAATGCTTGGACACGATTTTGCGTCCTGCGCTGTTCCCCCTTTTCCCTCTGTCTCTTTTTTCCCCCCGCCTATGTTCGTCCTTCCTATCTTAGACTCGCGCCAGAGAGTATCGCACTCTCCTCTCTTTCTCTCTTTCCTTTGCCGTCCTCTTTCAGTTCCCGTCTATCCCAGTTCTTCGTCCCTCTCTGTCTGCCTGTTTTTCTGTCTCCTGAAACCAGCTATTGCCGCGCGCGCGCGTATCTCTGCCGTGCACAGAGGTCGGAGAGAAATAACAGAGTAAGCGAGAGGGATGAGAAGTATTACCGCCGGCTGGGAGCAGGAGAAGGGGTGGAGAGACGGAGAGCGAGAGAAGCGAGTAATGGACGGATCGGGCGTGTGTGTGTGTGTGCGCGCGTGTATCAGTGCGAGAGCCGAGGGAATGGGACTGGCAGACGGAGACGAAGCGATGCACGGTTATACGAAGGGGTGAAGGACAGTGCTAGGGAGTGAGGAAGGTATTCGAGGCACGAACGACGGTGCGAGCGAGACGAAGCGAGCAACAGAGACAGAGGGGAAACGGCAACGTGATAGCTGTGCAACAAAGATAGATATATAGCCGGGCTCGACCGAGCGAGAGAGTACAGAGAGAAATGACAGAGGTGAAATGAGGAGGGACAAGGAGGATGTATAAACGAGTGGGCGGTGGTGCGAGAGAGACAAAGACAGGCTGTATAGAATGAGACGGATAAAGACAGGAAATGAAAGAACTGGTTGGACGAGGATCGAGATCGTTCCCTTCTTCTTTGCCTCCTTCTCTTTCTTGCTGCATATTCGACGCGGACAGCGCGCAGCCGACTGGCTGTGCGCGCGCCCGCGCACCTATATTTCTCTCTCTCTCTCTCTTTCTCTGGTCTTCCAGCGTCGTTAGACAGGCTTCGCCGAAGTCCCTCTCTCTGAAATATCTCTCCGAGAATATTATAGAGACGGCGATGGCGGTGTTGCCTGGACTCGTCGAGAACGATGCTCTACCATCGCGCGTCTGTGGATTATTGTATTATACGCTAGCTAGGACTTTTTTCGCACCACCGTGTACACCATCACCTAGCATCGTCTAGTCTAGTGTCTTCCGACAGTTTTTCCCCGTACGCGACCACGATGATCTCGCGCCTCTTTCCTGATTTCCCGACCGAAAGGTCGTCGTTCGACAGTTCAAGCAATTTCCAAGACGCTGAAAAATACGCTCGAAAACGTGGCGAGGAATCGTGGAACAGTCGTCGTTACGTCGAGACCTAGCGCGCGAAATACGCACGCGATGAAAACTGAGTGTAATGTAGCGTGACGTACATACATACGTATGTACATGTATGTCTGCCGAAGGCTTTTTTTTTCTCCCTACCTTCGTCCATCGATGCACGAGCACACGTCGTATAAAAATCTCTATAATCGTTCGTACGTTTGGACGATGTCGGAAGGAAATTTGGACGTACGTATCTTTAGCCAAAACTGATTTTCAACGTGAAAGGTTCGTGTCGGGCCGATTGAAAACAGGAACGTTTATGAGAATCGAGGAGCATATCGTATACAGAGAGAGAGAAAGAGAGAGAGTTAACGAGAACGCATGGATACTTCTGCTTCGTGGTTTCTGTGGGGGTTGGTTTTCGTAGGATACGTTAGAAGCGGCGAGTGCACCACCACGAGGAATGGACCGGCAGGGGAGAACGCACGGCCAGAGCGAGTGAAAGAGAAAGACGAAAAGAGAGCCAAATGTATCCACCTAACCTACCTACCGCAGGGCAAGAACAGATGAGCGGAGATCCCTCTCTGCCAGCCATCAGGGAAAGGGAACGAGGCGAAGCTCTCTCCTCGAGTCTTCCTCTTCTCCCTTCAAAGCATCCTTTGTTCGCTTGTTCGTGGATCCCCTGGGACCCCGCGTCCATCGCGTTTCCTTCCAGCCAGTGCCGTACGTCAAGCTTCGTTACGACCCGACGCTAAACTCTTTTTCACGCGGAACAATTTCCTGTGTGAGACTAATTTATCGTAACTTTGGATAGCCACGTACGTTTCGGATGTTAGAATTATCTGTCGTCTGGCAATGATAAAAGCGTTTCACCGTCAACGTTGGGTGAGTTTCATCGCGCGAAAGTAACCGTTACGACAGACAGAGGGGAAAAAAAAAAAAAAGAACGAACGAGAAATACTCTCTGGGTCCAGGCATTCTCTGAATTGGTCGGCAGTGATTGTTAACGAAGCTGCGCACCGAGAGACAACGATTTCGTCCTGCGCTCAATAACTTTCACGCCATTTACGTTTCACCCCGGGATAAAAATACATCCTCCGATATCGACGGTCTCTCCTAATCAACTTCCGGATCCATCCGAGGCTGGCCGTTTTTTCTTCGATCGTTCGAGCCCCTCCGACATCTTACGGCCCTGCGCCTCGTCGCTCGCTCTCTTTCTCTCTCTCTCTCTCTCTCTCTCTCCCTGCTTTTCCCTCATCCCGCTGGATTTCCTCCCCACCAGTCTGCCGCTTTCCACGCAGCATCCCTCTAGACTCTGTTCCCCGCTCGAAGCCGGCGCGGAGCTGGATTGGCCGAACGTCCCGACCAATCCCGTGCTCCCGTTATGGAGCTTGGCGCATTCCCCACACACGTAGTTGACGTATGTCCATATTCCTAGGGTGGGTGCGCGAAAAACGTCAAAAAGTTTTGTTTCGGGCCAGATCGCGCGTTACGCGAGAGAAACGGCGACACACGCCGATGGCAAAGGAGGGGCGGGAGAGGGAAAGGATAGAGAAAAGAAGAGAGAGAACGGGAATATCGTGTCGAACACCTACGAGAGATCCGTAAAAGAGAGAGAGAGAGAGAGAGAGAGAGAGAGAGAGAGAGTGAGAGTTTGAGCCTGGCTGAAAAAAAGGCGAAGGGAAAACGGGTGGACGAAGGGGCGACAGAGAGGAGTAGTCAGACAATTACATCAGCGAAAGGAAGAGAAACGACCGTGGAACGAGGAAAGAAACGGTCGGAAGCGAGACGGAGCGAGCGCGTGTCTCTGTGACAGAGATGACTAAACGAAAAATCAGGCTGGTAGAAGCGAGATGGGTAGAAACGAGAAAGATGGACCGAGTATAAAAACGGGGAAGGAAAGGGAGACGAATGAGGGAGGTGTGTTTCTCTTTCCTTCGCGTGTGACGACGTTGACGTGAACCGGCAACCACGTGGCTCTCCTTTCTCTCTCTCCGCCATCTCTGTCTTCTTCCTCAGACTTTTCTCTCTCTCTCTCTCTCTCTCTCTCTCTCTCTCTCTCTCTCACTCTCTCCCTGCTCGTTTCTCTGTCCGTGTCGGTTCTCTCTCGGTGTTCTCTCGCGATATACGCGTCGCTCTGTCTCTCCTTCGCCGAGTTGAAAAGCGCCTCCCGCTCGCACACAAGCTTTCAGGCCTCTGCGGCTGGCAAAGCCTCCGACGCCACCTCGCCAGATGCAACGCCGCAGTCCCGCACTGCAGTTGCAGCGTGCACGTTCCCCGTCGATGCATTCTCGCGGTGCACACGCTCTCTTCACCGCGGAGCGGCGCCCCGACGAGTTTTATACCTGAAAACATGCGACGCGACCGAGCCAAGGGAGAACGGATTAATCGTACCCTCTGTGTTCCCGCGTTCTCCTAGCGGCCATGCATTCTTTTCCCTTTTTTTTTTCTTTTTCATTTTTTCATTTCTTTTTTTTTTTTTTTTTTTTTTTTTTAATTGGACCATATATTTTTTTCACCGTGAATCGAAAGAACATTAAATTTCAAATAAAAATCAAAAATATTAAACCACGTTGGTCCTAAACCTAATTAATTAAAGAGATGTTTTACGACAATTTGTCTCGAGGATAAAAACTGCACAGAGCATTAGGACAGTTTTCCTTTTGCTCGCAATAATTTATTTAACTTTCGTATTAAACAACTTTTCACTAGACTTTTTGTATTAAGCAATTTTTTTGCCAGATTGATTTAAACGTTACCTCAAGGTGTGCGAGTCACGTGAATCACCCTGTACATATCTGTTACGTTGCAACGTGAACAGAAGCTGCCACGACTATCGATTTGATTCTCATTGGCCGTTTCTTCAGGGACGAACGAACCCTGAACGAGAGGCAGTGAAGAGGAGAGATCCACGTGTCGACACGGTTTGACGCGATCGTATGATCAATTGACATCTCTCTGTATTCAACGGTTCAACGAACCTGCTTCTGGTAAGGTCAGGGCCGTTCGCAGCGCGAGCTCGCGCGCGCGCAAGTTGAAACGTTGTCAATTCTCGCGTTGTCTAGAATGAGCAGCACTATGGTAACAGTGATACAATGTATCTGTTGCCCTTTCCTACGACAATTCCATCAACTGGTGTGGCCAATAGAGCTTCCAGTTTCCCAGTGATAATTTTCATTAAGGGAAATAAGATAAACATTTAAAACTCGGTGTAAGCGATAAAAGAGTCTTTAATGTGTTTTGCTTGTGCCGCAACGTCGACGTATGTCAAATTTCTGAGAACTTTCTCTTAGGTGCGTTCAAAGATTGAGCTAACGAGGAAATTGGTCGTTTGGTTTCAGGCAACGGAAGCGCCCGTTCAAAAATGTCGCCGGCGGAGCCGTAATTCAACGATCCTGGTAGGGCGGAAGCGGAGGGACGCGAAGAAGTGGCGAACAAGGAAGAAATGGCGTCCACCAGCGGGCACAAGAGGAACGGCTCGAGCTCGAGCATGTTCACCCACAAACGCACCGAGTCCGGTGGCGGTTTTATCGGTCACAAACGCGCCGAGAGCATATCCAGTGCCTTTGGCTACAAACGATCCGAGAGTGGCCACAAGAGGAACGAGAGCAGCGGCGGTGGTTTCGGCCACAAAAGGTGATTCCCGCCTTTTTCCAACGTTTGCCTTACGTCACTCCCCTACGTTTCTGCATCCAGCGGGTCTCCTCTGCCTCTCCCCTCCTTTCTTCCTCTCCCTGCCACCTCCCCTTTAGGCTTCTTGTGCGAGCCTGATGTAACACGCAACGGATCTTGCCTAGATGGCAATGGATGGCTGGTACAATGGAAAAACTCCTTTTCAGCTTCTTGTTTTAACTTTCACACTTGCCGCAGAATCCTTAACTGTCGGCAACTTTTGGTGCATGTATGTATTTACGCCATATTAGATAGTACTAGGACGTTTTAATAATATCATTAGGGTTATTAAAAAAAAAGGGACTAAACAGTAGAAAATAATACCTACACGAACATAGTTTTAACTTTTACACTTGTTACAGTATCCTTGGGTAAGTTTTGATGCATGTATGTATTTATATTGTATTAGTAGCCATATTAGATAGTACTAGGGCGTTTAATAATAATAGGGTTATTAAAAAAAAGGGGACTAAACAGTAGAAAATACCTACACGAAACTATGTACAACATAGTTTTAACTTTCACACTTGTTATAGTATCCTTGGGTAAGTTTTGATGCATATATATAGTTACATCATATTAGTGGCCATATTAAATAGTACTAAGGCGTTTTAATAATATGATTAGGATTATTAAAAAAAAAAAAAGGGACTAAACAGTAGAAAATAATACCTACACGAAACTATGTGCAACATAGTTTTAACTTTCACACTTGTTATAGTATCCTTGAGTAAGTTTTGATGCATGTATGTATTTACATCATAGTAGCCACATTAGATAGTACTAAGGCGTTTTAATAATATAATTAGTGTTATTAAAAAAAAAAGTGATTAAACAGTAAAAAATACTTAGACAAAAAAGAACTATGCTGTACATAGTTTTAACTTGTTAATTAGTATCCTTGGGTAACTTTTGACACCTGCATATATATATTTACACCATATTGGCAACTATGTTAGACAGTACTCTAAGGCGTTCTGATAATGTGATTAGTCGTTTTAATAATATGCTTAGTATTAAAGAAAAAGAAGTGATCAAACAGTAGAAAATATCTAGGCGAAACTATGTTGTATGTACATACATACTTATAAGCTTACCTTGGGTCGTGTGCAAGGTGGAGTTAATATTTAAATCGGAGATAGACGTGGACATGCAATTTTAGCACGCGACGTTGCATAGATATCTCTGCCGGAGAGGGCGGAAAAATTCAAGTAACACAGAGGGGAGGGTTCTTGTTACCTCGCAGAGTAATATGATCCTTCGGCCGGGGGAGAGCCCTACGTGTAATGTTTAGATAAGTACAGGTTCGACGTTTCACGGGCTTCCAGGATTCTGTTTGTTTTCCTTTTTTTTTTTTTTTTTTTTTTGCTCGTTAACGAGACAAGAACTGAGAAATTGCAACCAAGTTTCTCCTGCATCTCTGTGTGTATTCGCAGTTATTATTATCACCCGGCAAATTCTATTCTTTTCTTTGAATCCTGTCCACTGAATAAAATACTATCAATGAGAGCGCTCAGGTTGCTGAGACAATCCAACGTGTGTGTTTACGTGGCTGGCAACAGGAACTCTTTTCAATTAACTCCTCTCGATTGTTTGGACGACGTCGACAGGAGTTAATTAGCTTTCAGCAGTACTAAAAATAGTGTTGATTCCCCGATCGCGTTGACCCTATCTCTTTAGGGATTCGTTCGAACGGACAGAGGGCAATAATTAATTCTTTTTCTCTACCGATCAGAATTTTACTCACGACCTAACAATTAGCTAATTTGTACTAATTTTACGTTCAGTGAAAGAGGAACGAATTTTCTCGCGAGTTAATATATAATTATTCTTTTTTACACGATCAATAATTTGTTCTATCTGGTCGAAAATCAATTACTTTCCCCAAAAGTAAAAGGTGAATTTGTTTTTTCTTTTTTTTTTTTTAGATAATATTTATTTTGTATATCCGAAAGTAACAAAGAAGTCATCGATGACAACAACACGCTGTCTTATATTGTTTTTAAAGTCTGCAAGAATTTCTTTCGTCGAGCCGCTGGCAAATCAAAACGACGATAATTCGCGATCTTCGTCTTAATAATGCTAAACGAAGGCACGTTAATTCGTGACGTCTGCACGAACGTCGTAGTTGACTTGTCATAGTGTGTAGAGACGAAGAAGGACAAGTGGAAGCCTAATGGATCACTTCCAAATTACACGTTCATCTCTCGTTGGCATTTTCAGGTCCGAGTCCGGGAGCAATTACCATGCTGGACATCGAAGGAACGAAAGCATGTACGCTATGACCGGGCTGTACGCGGAGAGCGCGAACACGGGAACCGATGAAACCACAGATCCATTGCAGGCAACCGGCAGCAGACTGACTCACGACACCGTCATCAGATGTCACAGTAGAAATCCCAGTTCTGGCCTCGTGGACCATAGGTATGGACAATTAGAAGAAGAAGAAAAGGAAAGATTAATTTAAAATTGGAAAGAAAAAATTATTAAACTTACAGGAAAAGAATTAACTTAACTTGCAGTTTAAATTATTAAACTTACAGGAAAAGAATTAACTTAACTTTAAAATTGGAAAGAAAAAATTATTAAACTTACAGGGAAAGAATTAACTTAACTTGCAGTTTAAATTATTAAACTTACAGGAAAAGAATTAACTTAACTTTAAAATTGGAAAGAAAAAATTATTAAACTTGCAGGAAAAGAATTAACTTAACTTTAAAATTGGAAAGAAAAAATTATTAAACTTGCAGGAAAAGAATTAACTTAATTTTAAAATTGGAAAGAAAAAATTATTAAACTTACAGGAAAAGAATTAACTTAACTTGCAGTTTAAATTATTAAACTTACAGGAAAAGAATTAACTTAACTTGCAGTTTAAATTATTAAACTTACAGAAAAAGAATTAACTTAATTTTAAAATTGGAAAGAAAAAATTATTAAACTTACAGGAAAAGAATTAACTTAACTTGCAGTTTAAATTATTAAACTTACAGGAAAAGAATTAACTTAACTTGCAGTTTAAATTATTAAACTTACAGAAAAAGAATTAACTTAATTTTAAAATTGGAAAGAAAAAATTATTAAACTTACAGGAAAAGAATTAACTTAACTTGCAGTTTAAATTATTAAACTTACAGGAAAAGAATTAACTTAACTTTAAAATTGGAAAGAAAAAATTATTAAACTTGCAGGAAAAGAATTAACTTAACTTGCAGTTTAAATTATTAAACTTACAGGGAAAGAATTAACTTAACTTGCAGTTTAAATTATTAAACTTACAGAAAAAGAATTAACTTAACTTTAAAATTGGAAAGAAAAAATTATTAAACTTACAGGAAAAGAATTAACTTAACTTGCAGTTTAAATTATTAAACTTACAGGAAAAGAATTAACTTAACAGTCTGACATGTAGTCTGAGATTGTAGGCAGAGCAAAAGAAAAAGAAAGTGAAATTGTAAGAGTAATATTTGTCGGTTCTTCTGTATGTGCAATAAACTGACGATGAGTCAAATTAAACTGAGCCTAAATATTTAAACTAACAATGAGTCTTCAATTATTTGACGTAGCTGATAACTTAAAAATTTTCCTTTTACCGTTTCACTGTTACGAATTGACAATCATATTGGTTTGTTAGTAAGTGATTGCCTAGGCAATCCTGAGCCAACTATACTTCTTTAATTAAGCTGTTTATGTATCCAAAGTATTAAAAAATATTTTAAAAATTGTGACTGTAGTTACCTTTGTTACCAAATGTTCAAGTATATTTTATACAAAAGTTTAACTTCTTGAGCAATTTTTATTAACTTTCAAATGAACTTGTACATGCAGAACCAAAAATATTCTACTTGCACAATTTTGTAATAATTTTCATTTTGCTTGACTGAATTTATTAAAGTTAAAATATTTCACTTCTCTTTCAATGTACAGTTCCAAGTGAAAGATTTTAATTTTGATCTTTACTCCCATTCATGGCACAATATATTCATGCCTCCTGTTTCTTGTTCTTACACTTTTTCAGAGATTTTATCATCAAATGTCACAGCAGGAATCCCAGTGCTTCCATGGTGGACAGGTAAACCTGACACGATTACTATTTGTACGATTAATAATAAAAAAAAAAAAACAATTAAAATTAACGCAAAATCTACAAAGTTGTCTGTATCTCCGAATCGAATCGTTCGTCTCCTTTAATCCTTGAAACTGTATCGCTGTTGGACTAAAATTACCTTCGAGGAAACTCTGGCGCCATTTCCTACGCTTCGATTTTGCAAGTAATTACACACGAGATTAAAACTGTGAGAGAGCTAGAAAGAGACGACGAGCCGGGGAGAGCCAGGGAGAGCCAGGGAGAGCCGGGGGATTTCCTTTTAAGAACGACGACGCGCCGAACGAAGAATTTATTTTGAATAAGGAATTGAAGTGGCGCCAAGTAGGCTGTAAGCTCTCGAGGCGTTGGCAGCCTGTGAAATCCGACGAACGCCTCTTTAAGATCCAAAAATATAACTAATAATTGTCGAATTACTTGTACTGAAATTGTTCAAACTGCCGACAAGCTCGGACACTTATTTATCTTGAACGTCTGTCTATCATCTCTCGTGCTCGAAACCTTTAATTATATGGAAGAATGTTCCTTCTTAATACTTAATAAGTTGACTGTTAATAAGACTGTTTAATAAGACAGAGGAAAAGACTATTTATTTAGCTGTATATCTCGCGTTATAAAGAGCCCTAATTAGTTCCACTGTCTCTGCTAACAGTTGAAGGATTAATCGAGTAGCTTCGTTACTCCTATCCTTCCTATAACATAATTCTTAACATGGTTTCTCTGTTGTTGGCGACGCAGGACCGAGAAGGAGAGAGCGCAAACTCCACCGTTTAATCCGGACTCGAAGGACTGCGGGATCCTGAGTTGCAGGCCGGCCTTTATACAAAGATTCGCTGGAATAAAGGTTCGTAAACGTTGCTTCATCCCCGAGCGATTCTATCTCCGACACTCTGACGTAAGATCGGCACACACGTGGCAGGGAACATGACATAAGTCAACCTCTTCTTCTCTTAACTTCTAGCGTCTTCCTTTTTCTTTTTTAACTTTCATTGTCCTCTTTTTATACCGTGCTCTTACGTTCTATCTCGATGAAATGTCAGAACAGTGTTTTTCTTCCTTTCCCCCTTTTCTTTTTCATTGCTTTACATTTTATTTGTTACAAACTATAGCTATGCTTTTGCTTTAACAAATATTTCACTGTCGCACAAACGACTGGTGGAAGCTGTTGTTTCGAGGGCGGTTTGACGTCGGCGATCAATTTATACTTATTGCCAACACACCGGTAATGGTACACGGATGTAAGTATCAAACGATGTGAGTCACTATTTCGAAAGGATACGACATTGAAACAGCAGCTGAAAGGCTTTTAATCGTCGCAAGGAACAGAATACAAGGTGACACCATCGTTTAACGTGCTTTCGCTGTAACGTCAAATGTTGTCAGATTTATTTTTTCTTTTTTTATTAATAACTCTGGCGAGAACAGCTTCAGTTGAAAAGTTTGACAAAAAGTCTGCTGTATAAAAACTGATTGATTTATGTCTAATTAATTGTCTAAATAATCGTGGTCATGGAAAAGCTTTGGGAATTCTTAGAGCTAACAGTTTTATGATTATAATTTGACATCAGTTTGCATTAAAAGTTTATTAAAGGATTTCACCTTTTAATTCTATGTAGATATACTACTCATTCTATATACTATTATACTATAATACTAGTAATATACTATTATAATGTACTATACTGTACTAATATAATATACTATGTACCATTATACTATTAATGCTATTAATATACTATGTACTATTATATTATTAATACTATATATTAATAATATTATTAATATATATATATATATATATATATATATATATATATATATATATATATACTATTAATTCTACATATAGATATATAGTTTATATAGTATAGATATACTATTAATAGAATTAATAACTTTATATAAATATACTATTCTATATAGTACTATTCTATATATTCTATATAGTATATTTACATAAAGATATACTCTTAATTTTATACACATGCCCCTGACCGAGCACGTTTCAGCTTTGATTCATTAAACATAGCATGATGGATTATCAGCAGAACGTTTTATCCAATTCCTATCACCGTTAATACAGCATTTTGCCTTCGTTAGTTAAAATGCACTCAAAGGGTATATAACGGGGAAATCGATGAAACTTCTGCTTATCTAATCAAGTTTCATCGTTGGATTCAACAGGAAGGAGATGCACGAAAGGATCGATGTTATCAGCAGCATGTGTCTCTCAATTTTATGTGACAAACCGTCCTTTTTGTTTCATCTCATATCTCGAAGAGAAAGAAAACTACGGTTTCTGATAAAGTGCCTCGTTTTCTAAAAAAAATGAGTTCCCCTTGTTATTTTAGCATTTGGTGTAATCTTATCCAACACCTGATGCTACAAAAACTTCCATAAAATCAAACATTTGACAGACACCACAGGCGTTTAAAAAATTTTCAGTGTTTCTGATCCACACGTGTGACTGAAATATGGCACAAGTTTGTGCATTATCGTTTAATTATGGTTTTACTGGAAAAGTTACTTGCTCGAACGTCGTATATATATATATTTGCACTTGCACAGTCGTCGTCAGAGACTCAAGGTTTAATCAATTAACATGCATCATTTTTTTTTGTGATTTTTCCAGGTGTTTGTATTCCTCCTGTCGTTTCTCGTCACGCTGCAGCAAGCACTTAGTTCAGGTTACATAAATTCTGTGATCACAACCATAGAGAAGAGGTTCGAAATCCCGTCCAGCCTTTCAGGCGTCATTGCTAGCTCTTATGAAATTGGAAATGTCATCACTGTCATCTTTGTCAGCTATCTTGGTAGCCGAAGACACATACCTGTTTGGATAGCTATTGGCAAGTACTTAAGAACATATACGTGCTATTAAATCTTGTTCAAACGCTTGTTTATTATTTTTGTATTGTAGTTATATTATTTGCTTAATACTTACATTATATTAGAGTTATATTACAGTTATAATACTTGTTTAAAAATTATGAAATTACTTATGATACTACTTATATATAAAAAATATCAAGAAATTTGATATAATATAATATTTATATTTATATTTATATTTATATTTACATTTATATTTATATTTATATTTATAGTTTGTATTTATATTTATATAATATAATACAGTGAAAGATTTTAGTAACAGTGACTGTTCTTACTTCTTTTCTGTTTAATCGTTGTTATTATTATTCATTTCAGGCGCTGTCATAATGGGACTGGGATCGATGATCTTTATGGTACCACATTTCACAGCCGAACCCAATTTAATGACGGCTGCAAACAATTCTAGCTCAGACAACATTTGCCGTGGTGTTTCATTACGCGAGCAAGATATGGGATTGGGTAAATGAGCAGTAATTTACACGTAGAAAATACAGGTTTTCTTGCTGATAATTGGATGTAGAATTATGATTCATATTGTTGTAATAGTAATGTTTTAATGTCAAGTTTTTATTGACTATTCTCTAATGATTCAGAAAAAGTATAAATTTTAATTTTAATAAAGAAAGGAATTTCCAAATTTGAGCGAAATCCATATTTTTATTCAATTAATGGTTTAAAAGTACTTTGGCAAAGATGATAAAAATGTTTTCTCTGCACGCATAGGTCGTCTGTCGTCTGGATTATCGTCTCCGCCATTAGCACCACACAACAATTTAAGAGGTGATAACTGCATTCAAGGATCTCCTTCTACCGCTGGTCCTGTTATGTTATTTGTACTTGCTCAGTTATTATTAGGCTGCGGTGGTTCTCCTTTATTTACCCTCGGTACTACTTACATAGATGATCATGTACGACCAGAAAGTGCTTCTTTGTATATCGGTAGGAAAATATACTGTCACAAAATATACGTTAAAAATTAATTTATTACTCAAATGTTCATTTCTTTGTAGGTTGTATGTATAGTATGGCAGCTTTTGGACCAGTTTTAGGTTTTCTTCTTGGAGCTTATTTATTATCGTTTCACATGGATTCGTTCTCTGCAACAATCATCAGTATAGGTGATTAAATTGATTCTAATAAATGAATTACAGTCTTTGATACAACGTCCACATTGTACTGTAATAAAACGTAATTTTTTGTCTATAGATCCAGGCGATCACAGATGGGTAGGCATGTGGTGGGGTGGATTTCTACTCTGTGGTTTACTCCTAGTTCTAGTGGCAATACCATTCTTCAGTTTCCCAAAAATCCTGCAACGGGAGAAAGAAAAGATACGAATTATCGAAAAAAATAAATCGTCATCGCAGAAAGAGAAAGAGCAATGCAAAGAACCAAAAAAGGAGAAACTTGACGATAGTGGTTACGGCAAGGATGTAAAAGGTAAGCATTAAATTCCGTAATAAGAAATTTATTTATTCACAGTAATTCAACCTTAATTATCTGAATAAATACTTTCAATAAAGTTGTAAAAATTTCTTTTAATTTCTAATTTTCTTTCTTTCCTCATTTTCTATTAAAAGTGTTTTCACAATTGAGATTGTAATGTCTATTAATAAATATTATGTTATACGTGCTATTTTATTTGTACAAATATATTGTACAGAATATTATGTTTATACATTTATGGAAAATCTAAAAATTTCTCTTTTTAGATATTCCCAGAAGTATGTGGAGGCTGGTGTGTAATCCAGTGTACGTTGTAACGTGTTTAGGCGCTTGCATGGAATTAGTAATTGTCTCTGGTTTCGTGGTTTTCCTGCCAAAGTATCTGGAGACACAATTCAGTCTTGGAAAAAGTCAAGCCAGTGTGTTCACCGGCTCTATAGCGATACCAGGTGCCTGCATTGGAATCTTCTTTGGTGGATGTTTGCTCAAACGTTTAGAATTAAGACCAAAGGGTGCAGTTCAATTTGTTCTCGTTTCAAACGTTATATGCCTGGTGTGCTATGGCCTCCTCTTTTTCCTTGGTTGCGACAACGTGAAAATGGCTGGGACCACTATACCGTACTTTAACAGCAGCACAAAAGGCCCAGAACCCTTTCAAGTAAATCTCACTGCCGCGTGCAACTTCGGTTGCGAATGCCGAATGACTGACGTCGAGCCAGTCTGTGGAAACAACGGTCTCACGTATTTTAGCCCTTGTCATGCAGGCTGCACTGCCTTCAGTTCCAAATCGAATTTCACCAACTGTGCATGTAAGTATAATATGCAATAAAAGCTGAAGTAAATCAAAAGTTTAAGCATTAGTAATAAATATACATTCTCCCAACAAACATCTTATTATATTTGCGCATTTATGTTCTAGGTATACACGGAAACTTAACAATGTTGCCACCGGCAGCTCCAGAATTTGCGGAAGTAACAGTAGTGCCAGTAGCCACTGCTGGCCCGTGCACTTCGCCATGTAGGACTATATTTCCGTTTTTAATTTTGCTTTTTTTTATGACGTTCATCGTTGCTATCACTCAGATGCCTCTATTAATGATAGTGTTACGGTAAGTTTCGCTTTCATCTTGTTCTTACGTTCAAATTGCTCACGTTATAAAGTACATTTATATTTTTGTTCTCGATGTAGATCAGTCTCAGAGGAGGAACGATCGTTTGCTTTAGGCATGCAATTTGTAATCTTTAGATTGTTCGGTTACATACCTGCCCCCATTTTATTCGGTAACTTGATTGACTCCACATGTTTACTTTGGAAAAGTACTTGTGGAGAAAAAGGTGGAAGATGTTTACTTTACGACATTGAGCAATTCAGATACAGGTATTCACAATTCAACGTATCGTTGTACGATTTAAAAATGCTGGTTTTGGAAACGCGACAGTAGAATTTTTATTCCAAATACTTTTATTTCAGATACGTTGGACTTTGCGCTGGCATCAAGATTCTAGCTTTGGCGTTGTTCCTCGTTGACTGGTGGTTAGTCAGAAGGAGAAGGCAAATGGAAGATCAAGCGCCGTCTTTCACTGTCAACGAATTCGTAGGATCAATTATCAGTCTTGACAAATGTAAGTACACACTCAACCTGAAATTATAAAAACATCAAACCGATATTAAGAATTTAGAAGATAGAGAAACAATGTGCTTTAGATGTTTTTTTTCCCATGTTGAACTGTTGTATCGACATCAAAGTACGTTTTATCTTTCAGTGTTCGAGGAGAAACCGCATCATCACAACGCCGGCGATGGAGACGGCACTTGCCCGAACTCTGAACTACCCACTCCATCGTCAATTTCGTCGCCTACAGAGCCTACAAAATCGACGAACTTGGAGGACACTGGCTCGTCAAATCAAACTCAGGATTCAACGGAAACGGGAAACCGTTCGAAGAACTCGATGGACGTCGATGTCCCCGACACGAGGCAAGCGCCTCTTGCTATGGAAGAACTGGATGCGGAAGTGAAACCGTTGACTGGTAAATCCGTTGACAAGCATGCACGGAACGTTTAATGTTTAACTCGTGTTAGAGATATTATGCAATTGAATTATATCAAAAAACGTGATAACGTGAGTCTGTGGCAAATTGTTTTGGAGTCGCAGGTAAGCTAGCGTAATATAGAGTGGAATAATATGTACAACACGTGTGCATTATTGATTTGTGCAATCCTAAAAGAAGAGAAACAATCCTAAAAAGGGGGGGGCGGGAAAGGGGGAAGTGTTACGGATGACTTTAAATGAAAAAGAAAGAAAGAAGGGTCTGTATTATACATACATATATAGTACTAATATACTTTTTTAAGGAGATCGAAAGACAAAGAATTACCTTATATCGTTCTGTATATCGTCAAATACAAATTTAAATTGTGTTGAAGACGTAAGTAAATTTTACACATGCATACACACACATTCACACACACGCACACACACATACACACATTATATATTCTTGCATACAAGCAAGTCGAGAATATTTTTACAATGGTTACATTTGCGTGAAGGATATCGTTTTATCGTGCGAAATGATTTGCCACAGGTTTGTCTTGATAGTTTGGCTATTTTTAGGAACTAATATCACTAGAACGTACATTTTTATGGTGATGCGATATATATGTCAATAAATAGGAACGTAATAGGCGAAAAAGAAAAAAAAAAATATTTAGGCTCGTTTCAGACAGACATCTTGCAACTTGATCTGAGAAAAGATTTTCTTTGTCTGGAACGAGTTCCTTTTTGCCGATGGGAAGCGAACTTCATGCAGTTTCGAAGAGCAAAAAAAGAAAAAAGAAAGAAAAGAAAAGAAAAAGAAAAAAAAATAAAAAAAAGCAAGAAAGGCCAACATGGACAAAACTGTAAATATAAAAATTCCTGCCTTAAGAAATACAAGACTAGACAAACGTATATTTAAAGATAACTGATTAAGTGATAGAGTTAACAATCTATGATAAATAATATCATTATAACGGCAGATTGAGAGCTGCGATTTATTTTATAACTAGTGGTTAGGCTTTCTCAGAAATAAAAAGAAAAAAAAAATAGTAGTCAATTTAACATAGTAATATAAAGAAAGAAAAAAAAACAAACTAAATGAAGATTTAATAGCGTTCACTCGTTTGTAAAATTACTTGAACACTTTGCAGTAGCGTCCGTTTTATTCCTTTCTTTTTTTTTCTGTTCTTGCAAAAGCAATTGTATCATCAATGAAAGAATTATGCTTTTAACAAAGCGGCACCTTGATCTTTGATGTATCTTCTTCTAAATGCTATTATATCAGTGACACTATCTTAAGAGCTTTCAGAAGAAACGTTAATTAAACAAAAAGAGAGAGAAAGACAAAGAAAAAAGAAAAGCGAATGCGTGTTTATATGGGCTCTTTCGTCGCGTTACTTCTTATGCTATTGTGCGGAATGAATTATGCTTCCAAGCAACGAAAAGGAAACAGCTATAGACTTTCTGTTAAAGAATACTAAAAATAGTTGGTCAACTGGGATTCGAAACGTTGAGAACATGTTTTGGACAAGTTTCTGGCTTATCATACACCTTTTAGCTCACTTATTGTTAGGGAGAAATCTACTTGTTGTTTTGTACCTGAAAGCAGAAATAAGTGAAGGAATACAAAAAAAAAAAAAAGAAGAAAAATGAAGAAAAAAGAAAGAAAGGAGTATATAAAAGAAATCACTCAGGAAGAAATTTTATAGGCCGTTAAGAGCACCTTTAATTCAATCGAAGGAAAAATATAAAGTAACAATACAAGTATCTATCAATGGAAAATAAACGAAATCTTAGCTTAAGAAACGAACATAAAAATGAGAATGAACTCGTTTCAGCTTTGTTTCTTTTGAAAAGCAAGATAATTAAAAAGAAATCTTACACGAAGGCAATGTTTTAATCAATAACGATGTTATATAGAAACAACAACGCCATTATTAGTACTATCATTTAAAACTGTTTTTCTTTTCTTTTCTCCCCCATTGCTTCGGGTACGAAACCGCTCTACAAATGCTTCTATCTAATTCAATTTAAAAAAAA